CAGAAAGCAGTATATCTGGCAACAAGCCTGAAGGGACAACAATTGGAAATACTTGGACAATTGTCAGAAGACGATAGTCACAACTGTAGAGCACTGGTAGCTGCTCTAGAGCTCAGGTATGGAACTCGAAATCAGTTCGAAGTCTACAGAGCTAATTTTAGGACGAGAGTCCGTGCTAAAGAGGAGAGCCTACAAGAGCTAGCACAGGACTTGGAAAGCATGGCATACAAGGCCTACCCAACTGTGCCATCCGATGTTCTCAAATTGTTGCTGAGGGACCAGTTTGTAGACGCCTTGGACAGTTCACAACTGAAGATACAAGTGAAGCAAGCACACCCCTCTACTATACAAGATGCAATGGCCAGAGCTCTTGAATTTGAATCCTACGATAAGTCCAGTACAGAGGTACCAAGGTTGGTACAGTCATCGGGATTCAAGGCCAAAAAAGGTCAGCTTTCAGAGAGGTTTGAGAGTCTTTGCTGACACTGTAACAAACCTGGACACAAAAAAGCTCAATGCTGGAAACTTCAACACAGAGAAGATGACACGACAGGAAAGGCTGCTACCCAGAAAGGTTGTTGAAACTGTGGAGAGCAAGGACATATGAGAAGCCAGTGTAAGAAGAATACTACCAATAAGTCAGCTTCAGGAAACCAGTAGTGGTTAGTGTTGAGGGATGCCCACCAGCCTCATCGTGAAAGTCCCAACAGCTAAGTGTAAAATGGCAAGCACACATAGTGCCTACGTGACAGGAAAGCTGGTTGGCCAAAGGTGCGACTTTGTCATAGATTCTGCATCTCAGCAAACCCTTGTGAGTATGAACATGCTGGATCACAAAGGAGTACCAGCAACTCTGTGCTGTGACAAGACATTATGCAAGGTTTTGGGGACCAGTGTGGGTAACTATTGAGCTCATGGGCATGAAGACCAGACAGAAAGTATACTTGGCTGACATTGAAGACCAATGCATATTAGGATTGGACTATTTAATACCGAGGAAGTGTGTTGTTAACAAACAACAAAGGCCAAATTCCAGTAAGTGTTGCTGCATCTGTTGATTTGCATGTCACAGCACTAAAGTCAACTACAATACCTCCTATGCCAGAGAAAATAATTTGGGGTAGGATAAAGAACATCCCCAAATAAGCCCAATGCTTGTGGAAGCAGTGGAAGACCTATCCCGGCCAGCGGATTTGAAGATTGGAAAGTTACTTGTGGCAGGTCATCAAGTAGTACCTATAACAGTGGCCAATTTCTCTAAATGTGAGGAGACACTTAAGGAAGAGGCATTGTTGGGTGTGTGTGCCAGGAGGTAAAGCCAGTCAATGTTAAAGCAAGAAATACAACCATAAAGAAAAGACATACACTCCCAGAACATTTAACTGACCTCTATAAGAAGAGTACAGTCCATTTGTCATCATCACAGGCTCTTCAGGTTAGAGAACTCTTGGCGAATTATGCAGACGTCTTTTCGAAAGGAGATCATGACCTCGGCTGCACAGACCTCGTGGATCACAGAATAAACACAGACAATCACCATCCAATAAAGATCCCTCCAAGGAGAATAGATCCAGCAAAGCGACAAGAGTTGGAGAAGGTCATGGATGGCCTAATTAAGGAAGGGATAGTCGAGAAATCAGATAGTCC